AACATACATGCATAAATGCATATTGACAGACAGACAGACAGACAGACAGACAGGCAGGCAGACAGACAGACAGACAGACAGACAGACAGACAGACCGACATACACACATGCATACATGCATACATACAGACATGCGTACATACGTGCACGCATACATACATACCATCAGACAGACAGACAGACAGACAGACAGACAGACAGACAGACAGACAGACAGACAGACACACACACATGCATATATACATACAGACCATGCATACATACATACATACATACATACATACACGCATGCATACCCAATACATACATACATACATGCACACATACATACATTCTAACGTATATACTCACATGCCTACCCACCTCCCGACCTACATGAATACATACATACATACACGAGCATGGATGCATGGATGCATACATACACACATGTATACATAGTTACATGCATGCATACATGCACACACATAAGCATATGTGTGCATGTGTACATATATACATATACATATATATATATGACACATATATGCATACAGGCATGCATACAGACATGCATACAGACATACAGACATACAGACATACAGACATCCAGACATACAGACCTACCGAAATTCAGACATACATTCATACATGAGTGCATGCATACATACATTCATCCATACATATCTACCTACCCACATAACTGCATTCATATATAGATCCATGCATGCATGAATACAGAAATGCCCACGCACATACATATATGCATACATACATGCATACGTACACACATACATACATACATTCATACATATATATATATGTATATATATATATATACATATACGTACATTCATAAATATAGACATACATATATACGAGCGAGCGTGATCCACCGCCGCTGTACTGTTGAAAAGTCCCCCCCTATTCCTCCGGAACCCGAGGGCCCCCCCCTCCGAAAATCCCTTCCCCCTGCTCGAGCCCCTCCCCCCCCTCCTCCCTTCCCCCGGCAAAAGAACTCGGGACCGTCAAAAAACCGCCGAGGGAATGGTGGGGACGAAAAAGTCGGGGCATCGCACGTTCGGGTGCATCTCCACTGCTGCGGGGTCGTGCTCCAGAGACTTCGGGGAGCGGTGGATATGGACATCCACTGAGATCCGACGGCGCGAAACAACTGCTCCACCGCGAAGAATCACGACCAGAGCCCTGGACCCCATCGTTCTGCTCAATGCTTCGAGCTGGATCGATCTGTCAGGGCCCCAGGCACCGAAACCGGACGCAGGCGCCCGGCTCGAAAAGTGGAGAGCCAGGATCTCAAGGTTTCCGGGTCATGACTCGGGCCTCCAGCGGCTGTTCGGGACGACGCGGGCGCAACCGAGACGCTCTCGGCGAGGCGCAGTGCTGGGAAGCGTCCAGGTGCGAGAAAGCCTCAAGAAACCAACGAGAACCTTCAAATTCGAAGAACCTCAAAAACACACCCGGCTCGACAAGACTGAGACGCCAGGATCTCAGGGTCTGCCCGCCCACACGGGCGAGCAAGTGTCTGCGTTAAGTCGAGCCTGTCCCCCTACAGGCGGATTTTGGACGAAAAATGAAATGAAAGAAAAAAAAAGAAAAAAAACTCCGGAAATCGTCCCCAGATTATGTTTGGACTGCTCTTGAGTATCCCTCCTGCAGAGGGACAGGCCCGACTTATCGGCGGTGGGCAAACCTCCCTTTCGCAAACCTCCCCTCAGTGAAGATGGCCTGGCACCGAAACCGGCGGGCCTGGACACGCAAAAGTGACGGCCGCGACGCCCTCTCGCGAACCGAAAACGGCCAACTCCTCAATCGACGTGTCAGGGCAGGAGCCCCCGAAATGCCCCAACAAAAAAGTTTGGGTAGGAGTCCTGGCACTTTTCGGGGGAGTATCGGGCATTTTTGGGGAGGAGGTCTGCCCCCCCAAAGAAAATATACTCCCCGAACCAAAAAAATACTCCCGAAAAAAAAATTGTTTTGGGTAGGAGGTCTGCCCACCCCCGAAACTGAGCCTGCGCGCGCCCCTCCTCGACGAGCAAAGAGCCGGAGTGGGAGGGTAAACCGGCACGCCCCGGCGGGCGGGGGCCTGGGACGCGGGCAGGAGCAGGGCGACGATGCCGGCGGGGATGTCCTCTCGGAGGAGCAGGGGTAGGAGAGAGCAGGAGGAGCAGGAGGAGGAGGAGGGGCAGGAGGAGGAGAAGCAGGAGGAACACGAGGAGCAGGAAGAAGAGGAGGAGCAGGAGGAGGAGGAGCAGAACGGCGGCCGGAGCTGCAAGGGGCCCAGGGACACACAAGTGCACACACACACACACAGCAGGATTTTTCCAATATTTTCCCACATGCTCTGGGTTCTTGTCTTCCCCCCCACACTTCCCGTGTTTTCCCACGTTTTCCTGGGGATCGACGATTCATTGTGTCTGTGTGTTCTTTCCCCTCCTGAGAGTTGTGCTGCTCCCCTCGCACTAAAGGACCCCATCCCAGAAGTAACTTCGAGCGCCCGGACGACAAGTGTCGAAAGAGTGTCGAAACGGTGTCGAGACAGTCTCGAAACGGTGTCGAGCGAGTGTCTCCCAGGGCCCGGCACGTGAAAACCCTCAAGTTCCAGTACTTTCTAGGTGCTCGAAAATTCTTCCTGGTGGACCAAGGCTACAGTAGGTTGGAGAACCAGAAGGCCTGAGCACAAACAGGAGGAGGGGGGGCGGCCCGTGCAAGGTCGCACATATGTCGCCGCGCCGTTTGTTCCGAGCGCGCCCCAGTGGACGACGTCGGCACCGCGGCAGGGCCCACGGCGAGCCTTGCGCCCGAGGCGCAGCGTGCCCTCGTGGCCGCGGCGCCCTCCCCACGACGCAGGGCCGCGCGGCGGGCTGTGCTGATGCTCGGCCTGCGCCCGTGGAGGCCAGCTCTGAATTGTACGGCGCTGTGCACGGCTTCAGACGGGGAGCGGCGGGTTCCGGGTGCGGCTCCGGTGCGAGCTCGGACCTCGTCCCAGAAAAGATCCCAGGGGCCCAAGGACACACAAACAAGTACACACGAATCAAAAGATTCCCCACATTTCCCCATATTTCCTGGATTTGTGTCCTCCCCCCCACTTCCCATATTTTCCCATGTTTTCACGGGAGTGGACGACGACTTGTGTCTGCGTGTTCTTTCCCCTCCTGAAGAGAGATGTCCTCCATTCGCGGCCCCGTCCTTCCTTCGGAAGCGGCCAAGAGGGGGATGTCCAAGAGGGGGGGGGGTGCAAATCATGACCGGCGGCATCTGCGCGGCCCAGCGGGGGGGCCAGGGACGTCATGAAATAAGAAGAGGCGCCATGAAATCTGGGGGAATCTCATGGCCCCCGCCCTGATATCCACCCCCCCCCCAGGTCATCACCCCCCTCTTTTCCGATCCCGATTCCTGCAGAAAGATTCTTCTTTGCTTCCGGTCTCGGCAGGTAAGCCGCCGCGGCTCGGCGCGGCGGATCTCTGGGCCCGGCGCTGGGCCCCTCTGCCTGGCGCGCCAGCGCCGACCCCAGAGAACTCCGTGCTGGGCTCCACTGGCACAGCCGCCGAGAAGCGTCGATAAGCGTCGGGTTAGCCTCGATTAGCTTCGATTCAGCGTCGATTAGCGTCGATGGGCGTCGATTCGCAAGAGTTCAGTTCTTCACTACGTTGGAGGTCTGGATGGTGCGTTCGTGCCTGGACCGCTTTTTGTCCGCATCTGCCTTTCCTGGCGCAGCGGGCTTGAGCTCACATGTCTCGCCTGTGGGACCCATGGATCGAGCACAGCATCAGCTGCAGGAGAGTCGGCGGATTGCTGGGCCGCTCCGTCGCTTGCGCGTCGCGGGGGGGCATCCAGGTGCTGTATGCTGACTCTCCTCCAGCGAGGAGTGCTCGAGCAAAACACTGAAGAGAACGCAGTGCTCAGCAGTCGTCGTCCAAGCTGCTCCATGCCATCATTGAATAATCCGAGTGAGTGGGCGAACGGTGCGTGCGTGGCTGAAGTGGGCTTCCGCAGTGAGGATTCCTGCCGATGGTGTCGGCGTCCTCGCCCGCGACCCACCCCGCGGCCCACCCGCCCGCGACCCACCCCGCAGCCCACCCCGCGACCCACCCAGCGCGTGCCTCCTCACACTTGTCCGCAACTGCGGGGTGTTGCATCCGTGGCACACGCCGTTTTTGTTCCGTCGTCCTCGGCGACGAGAAGCGTCCCCTGAGAGCGACCCCGGGCGGCACTCTTTCTGGCATCCCGGGCGGAGCCGGCTGCGGCACTCGAGACCGCAGTCAGGACAGGCGAGTGGCCGCCGCGTGGCACGTCTGCGCGGCGCGCTGCGGGCCAGGGAGGGAAACGCGGCACAAAAAGGCCACCACGCACCTGGTGCACGCCGACTTTCTTCCCCGAGGTCCTCCCACCCCGTCATCGTCTCCACCACGGCAACCATCGGGGCCTCGGCCGGCTCCACGGCAGCCGGCAGCGCGGCCATCACCGCGACCTTGCCCACGGCGCCGCCGCCGCCGCCCTGGCTGACCACCTCCCAGGGCCCCAGGCCGGCGCCCCTCCGAAGCTGCGGCATCAGGCACTTCAGCGCCTGCGCCACGACCTGGGCATCGCTCGACCGATCCCCAGCCCCACTTGGCATGGCCTCGGCCCCATGCGGTGGCGCGACATCCGACCCCTCAGAGCTGCCCCTGTTGGAGAGGGGCTTGGCAGCCCTCTGTCGCTCTGGTGCTGCTTACATGAGCCACGTCTGCATCGCAGAGCGGGGGGGGAGGGGGGGGGCTCGGAAGGGACATGCCCCTCCGAGGCGACCTCCAAAACAGAGCCGGACTTCTAGCTCGGGTCGGACATCATGCAACGACCGCTGGCCGACGTACCCCCCCTTGGGTGCGAGGGGTCACGACAGAGGGGGGGACCAGCTCGGGCGGGGAAGCATCGAGCTGGGATCGGCGACACATCGCCGATAGATCGGCGGTAGGCCCCTGATAGCGAATCCGCGCGTTCCTGGGCGGGGTGGGCTATCGGGTTCCCATCGGCGATGATAGAAAAAGAAGAAGAAGAAGCAGAAGAAGAAGAAGAAAAAGAATAAGAGGAAGAAACGCCATAGACATAACTTCTGGCATTCCGCGCGGATTTCTCGGATCGGCGCGGGACCCCCCCTCCCGGGTGCTCGGCGAGCGCCAGGGGCGGCGCCGGAGGCGCCGCCAGGGGGGCCCAGCGCGGATTCAAGAAATTCGCGCGGAGCGCCAAAAGTTTACGTTCATGGCCTTTTTTCCTCTTCGACATGGCGATTGGGGTCCATGCATCCCCCTGAGCACGTCCTCCCCTCACGTTGCACCTGAAGGTGGGGGGGTATCTGATGTTCCCTTCGGGTCTCGCCGGACCTCTCCCCACCTGGGGGGCGAGTGGGGCCGAGACAAGCCCGAGCCCGAGCCCGAGTCCGAACCTCGAGCCCTTCGCCCGAGCGAGAGCCAAAGCCCAAGCGCAAGCCGGAGCCCGAGCTCGAGCCCGAGCCCGAGCCCGAGCACGAGCCCGAGCCCGAGCCCGAGCCCGAGCACGAGCCCGAGCAGCGGAAGTGGGGTCGGTTGGACGCTGCTGGCGACCCGCTCCGTGAGGCAGCGGCCCGTCTCCTCCCCGAACGCCTCCAGCACCTTCTCGTCCGGTGCGAACACGGCGCCGCTCTTCGCCCCGGCCTCCCGCAGCTTGTCCGCGCAACCCTGGAGGAGGGAGACCACCTCGGGAGGACGCCAGCTGTAGAGGGACACAAAGCGGCATAGACATGTGGCAATCGGCAGCGCCAGCGGCCGAAGGGCGCGAAGGACGAGTCCGGCGGGGGGCGCGCCGAGAGCGAGGCCCGCAGCGCGGGTGGGAAAGCAGAAATCATCCGCGCAAAACGGCACAGACATCATCGGATCTCCACGCGGATTTCTCGGTTCGGCGCCGGGGCCCCCTGGCGCGCTCCGCGCGCCGGGGAGGAGGGGTCCAGCGCCGATGCAAGAAATCCGCGCGGAGCAGAGAAACGCAATGCTCGTGCAACCTTTTCTGCGTCGATGCTTGGCGCCCTCCGACACCTCGTCGATGGTGGAGGTAACGACGAGCGACAGGCGGTCGCAGGCCGCGTGCATAAGCTTGCACCACTCGGCGCCCCATTTCTCGCCGTCGCGGGCCAGCCTTGGGGAACCAGCAGGGTACCGATACCGCTACTCCCAGGGCCTCTCCCGGGGTGGATTCTGACTGGAATTGCGAAGCGAATCCAGCCGTGGCGACGAGGGCCTCCCAGGGGCCCCGAAAAGGCGAAAACAAGACAAGGGTATCCTGAGATCCGACGTGGCGAAAAAAATGCAACCTCGCGAAAAAACACGACCAGAGCCCTAGACCCAAGACCCCATCTTCCTGTGGCAGCTTCCGAGGAGCATATGGCCGTGGCGACGAGGGCTCTCCACCACGAGCAGCTGTGTCGGTATCTCGTCCTCCTGCGAAGCCTCTCGAAGAGGGCGACGCCGTGGTCGAGCGAGGGTTCCCGGCGTGAGAGCGCGAGCCCCTGCAGCAGCACCTTCAGGTAGTCCAGCAGCGGGTCCCGGCCCAGGTCGGCCAGCCTCGTCCGCTCGGCCAGGGACCGCTGCTGCTCCTCCATCGCGACGTCCAGCATGAGCACGTCCCTCTTCCCCAGGCTGTGCTCGAGCCGGCGCCTCTGACGGAAGGAAAAACAGCGGCAGACGCAGAAGCTTCTGGATCTCCAGGCGGATCTCTCGCTTCGGCGCCAGGTCCCCCTTTGCGGCACCTCTGGCGCCGCCCCTGGCGGGCTGCGCGCCCCAGGGAAGGGGTCCAGCGCCGATCCAAGAGATACGCACGGACCCACAAAAAATCGTCGTCGTCGTCGTCGTCGCCGTCGCCGTCGCCGTCGCCGTCGCCGTCGTCGTCGTCGTCGTCGTCGTCGTCGTCGTCGTCGTCGTCGTCGTCGTCGTCGTCGTCGTCGTCGTCGTCGTCGTCGTCGTCGTCGTCGTCGTCGTCGTCGTCGTCGTCGTCGTCGTCGTCGTCGTCGTCGTCGTCGTCGTCGTCGTCGTCGTCGTCGTCGTCGTCGTCGTCGTCGTCGTCGTCGTCGTCGTCGTCGTCGTCGTCGTCGTACACACCGCTTTTTCGTCTTCGAAACCTCAGCTCCACGATCTTGCCCATGGTGAAGGGGTCGTCCCTGGCGTGGAAGATCTCGAAGGCCATGCACTCCGCGCCATGGTCGGGGTACTGCCCCTTGCACGCCTCGCACAACGAGAACAGGTCGGTGCCCCCGTGGACGTGCTTCAGGAGGTTCAGGTAGCCGTTCATGTCGTGCGTGAGCTGGGGCCTTAATTGGTATTCGATGCACGCCGGGGGGCGATGCTTGATCCGTGTTCCGTTCTTCGCTCTCGACTCGACCAGAGCGTTTTGAGCACGGCACCCCAGAAACTGGGCACCAGATCAGAGAAACTATGGATTCAGTTTGTGTCGGGGTTTCGGTTTTCTCCTATGCCTGGCGGTCCATAGGGGCCAGACGGATCGCGAGGAGGCGGACGAGGAGGAGGAGGAGGAGGAGGAGGAGGAGGAGGAGGAGGAGGAGGAGGGGCCATCTGTGGCGGGCGGCGCTGCAGGGTCAGAAGAAAACGTGTGCGGGAAACGCGGGGGGGGCCGCACGGAAAACAGGCGTGCGGGCCACGGGCCGGCCCTGGACCTGAAGACGCAACAACTGCACCCAAGGCCGCATGCGAAGCATAAAAACGAGCTTGAAGCAAGACCAATACCAAAAACACAATGTTTTGATTCGCGGGTCGAGAGCGCACCTCTTCCTGTCGAAGCTAAGCGGGCCGCGCGAAGCTTGAATTAACAAAGAGGGGGAGGAGGGAATGACAACACCAACAACACAAGCATGCCAAACACAACGCAGAAGCAGAAACACTACAACGAATGGCACGACAAAACGAGCACTCCGCGTCTGTTTTCACATCTAAGGCTGTGGCAAGTGCAGAGGGTTCACGTTCAGGCCCTTCCGGCCAGACTTGGTGTGGTCTACGAAGCCCATCGTGCACATCTTCCCGAGGTCCTCGCGCGTGATGCCGCAGTTGTGCAGGTGCCCGAACATGTCCTCGGGGTTGCCCGAGCCTTGAGAGGGGCAACGATAGGGAGGAGACTGGCCCTGGTGGAGGGGAAACATCGACGTGGTACTGGCGATACATCGCCGATAGATCGGCCAGAGGCCCCCGATAGCGAAACCGCACGTGAGCTGTCGGGCCCTGATCGGCGATGAAGGGGCGATTTGGGGCCGATGCATCCCCCCCTGAGCCTGTCCCCCCCTAACGATGTCCCTGACCTAGGAAGCGCAAGTAGCCCTCGCAGATGATGATATCGTCCGGCGCTGAGTTCGTGTGAAGCTTCTGGTGCCACTGCCCGATGAACTGGCAATCGATGCCCGGCCGGTGGCCCTCCTTGATCCTCAGGCGCGCGTTGCCAAATGGAAAGGCTTCGGGTTGCGCACAGACAGCCCCCCAGGGTAAGCCCAGCTGACCTCAACAGGCCTCGCGAATAGTCCGGGGCGGTCTTAACAGCCTGGCGCCGCCTCTGGCGACGCCCAGGGTTCAGGTGTTCAGACTGCCCTGGACTACTCAGGGGGCCTGTTGAGACCAGCTTGGACTACTCGGGGTGCCTATTGAGCTGCTAGAACCAGCTTGACTACCTGGGAGGCTGTGCGTAACCCGAAACCTTGCCAGGCGCGAGTTCCCAAGCTCCCAGCGGCTCCAGTGAAATCGGGCTGGGCCCCAGGACCATCAAAACAACTCAGGCATCCGACGATGATCTTTTTTCTATGCGCGGCCCCACAAAGGTCCCGACCACTGCTCTGGAGATGGCTTCTCGTCCTGGAACCATGTTGGATGGTCCAGGGGCCTGATACCAGGCCGCAGAAGCCGAAATGGATGAAAAACGCTTGAATGCAAAAACAACACAAAAACAAAACACGAACGTCCTGAAGAAGGGGTCCCGAAGTCCAGGGGTGCCCGCGCCTCGAAGCAGATCGAGGCGCCAGACGTCGGGACAGGAAGTTTGGGGGAGAATTGGCACGCTCACCCCGCTCGTACAGTCAAGCCGCTACCACGAGGAGCGCCAGACAAGGAGCGAAGCCCCTTTGGGGGCCCCGAACGCGCCTGGCTTCGCGAGAAGCGCCGGACGAACGATCGTGAGCCGTGGAAGGACCCACGGGGCAGCGGGGCCCTTCCGAACCCGAGCTGATCCTTGTTTCAGCGTCTTGATTGTGGTCTGGGGGGAGGTACAAGTTGAGGGCCCAAAGAATATACACCACCACCACGTCGATGCCTCCTCTCTCCTCTTGCCAGCGAGGGGGAGGGGGGGGAGGGAGGGAGGTGGCGGCGTATGTCTCTGGGCCCCCCACACACGAGTCGCCACTCTGGGAGGCCCTTCCCCCAGTTCTCGGGGACGCCATCCCGCTGCGCGTTTTTGAGGGCGACCGTTCTGAAGGGGCCCCAGGACACACAAATAAATACACACAAATAAAACAATTCCCCGTATTTTCCTATATTTTCTGGGTTTCTGTCTTTCCCCCCACTGCCCATATTTTCGAATATTTTCTGGGGAATCGACGATTAATTGTGTCTGTGTGCTTTTTGCCCTCCTGACGTTCTCGCGCCCGTTCGCGAGCCACACTCCCGCCTACGAGCCCGCCGAAGGCACCAAACGCTCGCGCACCTGCTGGAGCGCACCCCGTCGACTACTCCATATATGAAGGGGCCCTGGGACACACAAAGATTCCCCATCTTTTCCTATATTTTCTAACAAAAAATTATTCCCCCCATTGTCCATATTTTCCATATTTTCCTGGGACTCGGCGATTAATTGTGTCTGTGTGTTTTTTCCTCTCCTGAATATAGCAGGAGGACACCACTGGCGCAGGACCCGGCGGCGCGCACAGGGGGGGGGGGGGGCAGGGGGAGGGGGGCCAGCTCTTCGAAGGGCGCGGCGGCCCTACACCTGCAGACAAGGCCCGCGCCTTCCAACAAGCGTTTTGATCTGCGGGGCGAGAGCAAACCTCTTCCGCTAAAGGCTAGGCGGGCTACGCACAGCTTTAGATACTCCGGATTCCATAACAAAGTGGGGGGGGGTCACATTCGGGGGGGGTCTAATTTGAGCTGTCTTGGAGGGTCCGGGGGGGTCTGGGCAAAGGGCCGCCCTTTGATGGATAGTCTGGGGGGTCTAAAACTGCTCGTCTGGGAGGGCTGTGACCCCCTCCCCTTTACTACGAAATCTGGAGTAGGGAGACAGGGCACAGGAAGGCGGGGCCTCCGCGCCTGCCAACAAGCCGGGGTGCCTCCAAGCGGCGCTCCGCGCTGCCGCCGCCCCCCTCCGCGCGTGTGCCGAGCGGCAGGAGCCGGGCGCCGACGTGCAGCCGGCGCCCCCGACCTCCAGAGGCTCCCAAGGAGTCCCCAAGAGGAGTCCCCCGAGCGGCCTCCCAACAGAGCCCAAAGAGGCTCCCAAGAGGGCCCGTTGTCGACGACGACGACGACGACGACGACGACGACGACGACGACGACGACGACGACGACGACGACGGCGACGACGACGACGACGACGACGACGACGACGACCACGACCACGACCACGACCACGACCACGACCACGACCACGACCACGAGCAAAACAACGACCGCGGCCACGACCAGGAGGGCCCGTCGTCGTCGCCGCAAGACCTTCGCAACATCGAGCCCCAAGCTTTCTGGCCTTTCCGGCCTCTGGAGGCGGCCGGTTTCGGACCGCGGGGCTGTGCAAAGAGCAGCTCGGGACGAGAGGCTGGCCGCAGGGGGGCGGGTCGAGAGGTCCGCGGCCCCGAAGAGTCGAAGTCATCGTCGTCGTCGTCGTCGTCGTCATCGTCGTGGTCGTGGTCGTCGTCGTCGTCGCCCTTGTCGTCGTCGCCGTCGTCGTCGTCGTCGTCGTCGTCGTGGTCGTGGTCGTGGTCGTGGTCGGCGTCGTGGTCGTCCGAGGGGCGCCCTGGCACCTTAAATGAGCTTGCCCCCGCGTCCCCTGCCCACTCTGCCATCGTCCAAATGAGAAACGGAAACCACCGCCACGGAGACCTTACCGCAACGGAGGGGGCCGACCCCCTTGGCGGTGGCACGCCCGAGCGTCGCCTCGGGCGTGCCTCGGGCGTGCCGCCGCCCAGGGGTGGCTCCCCCCCGACGGGCTCGCGGTGGCGGTGGTCTCTGCTTCTCCTCTGAACGACGGCGGGGGGAAGCGGACGCGGGGGGAAGTTCACTTAGCGCGCCGACGACGACGACGACGACGACGACGACGACGACGACGGCGACCAGCACGACCACGACGACGACCACTACCATGACCACGACCACGACCACGACCCAAACAACGACCACGACCACGCCCACGAACACAGCGACGACGACGACGACCACGACCACGACCACGACCACGACCACGACCACGACGACAACGACAACGACAACGACAACGACGACGACGACGACGACGACGACGACGACGACGACGACGACGACGACGACGACGACGGCGGCGACGACGACGGCGACGGCGACGGCGACGACAACCACGACCACGACCACGACCACGACCACGACCACGACCACGACCACGACCACGACCACGACGACGACGACGACGACGACGACGACGACGACGACGACGACGACGACGACGGCGACGACGATGGCGACGACGACCCTAGTCGACAAGGACGGCGACGGCAGCGCCGTCGGCGTCGTCGGCGGCGGCAGTCCTCACAGGTCCCGGGACCCTCCGCATGCCGCTGGGGGCCTCGGTGTCTCGACCTCTCGGCAGCTCGGCACCTCGGCCCGCCCACCTGGCACTCCCGGCAGCTCAACCCTGGATCCTCGATCCTCGAGCTTCGAGCCTAGACAACTCGACCTTCCGTGTCACTGCGACGGAGGTGGCGGCTGCGGCGGCGCCCGAGGTCCCGTGGGTGCGCATGATGTTCAGGATGCCGTGGCGGATCGCATCCCCGCCTCCCGAGTTCCTGCATGGACGGGGAGGGGCGTTGGACGTCGTCAGTCATCGCCGTCGTCGTTGATCGTCGGTCGTATTCGAAGGCCGTCGCTGTCGCCATCGTCGTCGAAGATCGTCGTCGCCCTCCTGGTCGGGAGTCAAGAGGAGGGGGGAGAGGGAGCAGTATCGATAGGGAGGGGAGGGGCACGAGGGTAGCAGCCTAGCTGCAACATTTGACTCGCATCCTGCTTAGGGGAGGGCCCTGGAGCAGGCGCAGTAGGAGGAAGGGAAAAGGGGGAGGGGAGGAGGAGGAGCAGGAGAAGGAGGAGGACGACGACGGCGACGCCGAGGACAAGGGCGAGAAGCAGAAGGCGGCGGACGAGGAGCACGAAGAGGACGACGAGGAGCAGGAGGAGCGCAAGAACCCGACGGAGCAGCAGCAGGAGGGCAACAGGAGAGACAGGCGCGTGACGTCGCCGTCGCTCGCTGGCTTCGTCGACCGACGTCGTCGTCGCCGTCGACGCCGATCGTCGTCGATCGTCGCTCGTCGTTCGTCGATCGCTTGATCGATCGATCGCTTGATCGCCGCCGCCCGCGGCTCCCCCGCGGCACGGCGGGCGCGCAGAGCCGCAGGAGCACCCGCTGCGCGCGCCCAACCGCCGAGGCCGTCTTGGCCGCCAGGGCGCCGCCGAGGGCCTCCTGCGCGTGGGCCATGTCCTGGCGCGAGGTCGCGGCGGCTTCGGGCTCGAGGTTCGACGCTCGAGGCTCGAGGCTCGCTCCACGGAGGCGTCTGACATCGTCCTGGGGCGCTCTCGTGGCCGCGGCTGGATCCGCACCGAGATGCTTGGCAGAACGCACCCCGGGCGAGGTCCAGGACCGCGACGGTTTCAGGCTCGAAGATCGCGGCTTTCGGATATGTTCGTCTACTTCCGGCGGTTTTCTAACCTCGCGAGACTTTCCAACAGCTCCGCCTCGCCGAAGGCGTCCCAGGGGTAGCAGAATCATCCCGAACGGTCATTGGAAGCCCTAGTTATGACCCGAAAACCTGACAACGAGGATCTCTCCATCATCACCTTCTTCTTCTTCTTCTTATTATTATTATTATTATTATTATTCTTCTTATTCTTCTTATTCTTATTACTCTTCTTCTTCTTCTTATTATTATTCTTCTTCTTATTCTTATTATTATTCTTATTATTATTATTCTTCTTCTTCTTATTATTATTCTTCTTATTATTCTTCTTCTACTTCTTATTATTATTATTATTCTTATTATTCTTCTTCTTCTTCATCATCATCATCATCATCATCATCAGCAGCACCATCAACACAGACACAGTCACCATCACCAGCATCATCATCATCATCATCATCATCATCATCACCATCATCATCATACTTTTCATCATCGTCGTCATTATCATCTTCACCACCATCATCATCATCATCATCATCATCATCATCATCATCATCGTCACCATCATCATCATCATCAACAGTATCATCGTCATCGTCATCATCATCAACAGCATCATCATCACCACCGCCACCATCATCATCACCACCAGAATCCTCATCATCTCCACCATCACCATCATTATCATCATCAGTATTATTCGCATCACCAACATCATGGTCGCTATGATCATCATCATCATCATCATCATCATCATCATCATCATCATCATCAGCCTCATCATCGTCATCATCATCAGCATCATCCTCATCCTTGTCATTCCCATTCTCATCAGCACTATCATCGTCATCATCATCGTCATCAGAATCATCCTCCGAACCTTCATTATCACCATCATCATCTTCATAAGTTTCATAGCCACCATCACCATCATCATCAACATCATCATCATCATCAACATCATCATCAGCATCACCATATTATCCTAATTCGCCGCAGGCGTGGGGGGGGTCAGGCTGGCCTGGGGGTGAGACCCAGGCGCTCAAGCAGGGGGGGAGCCCTTGCGCACACGCGTAGCTCCTGGATGTCGGCCTGGAGGTGAATAGGTGGTTGGGGAAATCGCCTTAAACATACAGTATCATGATCATCATGATCATCATGACCATCATGATCATCATCAACATCATCAGTCTCATCATCATCAGCAGCAGCATCATCATCATCATTATCATCCTCATACTCATCCTCACCCTCATCCTCACAACCATATTCATCCTCATCCTCGTCCTCATTATCATCAGCAGCAGCAACATCAGCATCGTCAGCATCCTCATCATCATCATCGTCATCGTCATCGTCATCGTCATCGTCAACGTCGTCGTCATCATCGTCATCCTCATCATCATCCTCATCATCATCATCATCACCACCACCATCATCATCATGATCATCACCACCACCACCATCATCATCATCATCATCATCATCATCGTCGTCGTCGTCATCGTCGTCGTCGTTGTCGTCTTCCCCCTCCCCCTGTCCTCCTGCTCCTCCTTCTCTTCCTTCCTACTCCTCCAGTGCACAAGTTCACCACCCCACACATCCGACGATCTATTTTTCCATCCGAACGATGCTTCTTGATCTCGGTCCCTGGGGTCCGTTGTCGGGTACCAGCGCTATCAAAAGCGGACTCGCGCAAAAAATGCGCTGGGGAAGGGGTCGGGACCGCTTGGGCCGTGGATCGAAAAAAAACAAATCGGCGGATGCGAAGGGCGCATAAGTTCACAACCACATTCATCATCATCCTCATCATCATCAGCATCATCAGCATCATCATCGTCATCATCATCAGCATGATCCTTATCATCATCATCATCATCATCATCATCATCATCATCATCATCATCAGCATCATCATCAGCATCAGCATCAGCATCAGCATCATCATCAGCATCATCACCATCATCATCATCATCATCATCATCATCATCATCATCATCATCATCATCATCATCATCGGCATCAACAGCATCAACAGCATCATCATCAGCCGCAGCAGCAGCAGCATTATCATCACCATCCCCAATCCCCCAACCCCCATCCACAACCCCCCATCCCCCATCCCCCAGCACTCATCCCCCATACCCCATACCCCATAACCTATACGCACCCTACCCCTCATCCCCATCCTCCCCCCTCCTAATCCTCTTCCTCTTCCTATTCCTCATTATTCTCCTCCTCCTCCTCCTTATGAATAACTCCTCCCTGTCGCACCCCGAGGCGTATCGGTAGGGCGGGCCGGGCGTTTCGCCTGAGAGTTCCTCACCATGTATGATCCTTAAGCTGAAAATTTGCAAGACCTTCACGGATAGAGGGCGCGTCGTTTTCAAAATGTGGCTCTCGCCTTGGCGCTGCGCAAATTCGTGTAACAAAAAAAAAAACTTCACGGATGTAGAGCGGGCCGGTTTCAAAATGTGGCTCTCGCCTCAGCGCCGCGCACATTCGTACGAAGAGTTGACAGCGGGCGCTCCCACACGCTCCAAGACGCTCCCAGACGCTATCAAACGCTGGAGTCCCTCCCCAAGCGCTCCCAGGCTCGCCGCCGCCACCAGCAGCAACAGCATCCACCTCGTCCTCGTCCGCGTCGCCGTGAGAGGCCTCGAGGAGCAAGCGAGCACAGATGGCGTTGGCGAGTGGACCGCACACAGCTCAGAATGAGGCTCTCGCTCGGCCGGCGCGGCACACCATCGTCTCTCGCAGCGGACGAACCGACAGAGGGCGGGCCGTCTCCAAAAATGTGGGGCTCTCGCCCTGGCGCCGTGCACGCTTCACAGAGCGTCCCGAGCCGAGCGAGGTGGATGGCGGGCCTTGTCCAAGACGGCGGGGGCATTGGACAAGGAACCCTGAAGAGAAGGAATGTGTGGAAAAGTCTGTGGAGAAAAACAAAAAAAAAAAACACAACTGTGTGTCAGTGTGTTTTTTGTTGAAAAAACCACACACGGTGGTGTGTTTTTTCCACAGTGTGTTTTTTCCCAGAGGGCATCGCAGCGATCACGTTATATCGCGTGACACCTCTGTGTGTCCCACTGCGTGTTTTGTCCACAGTGTGTGTGTTTTTCCACAGTGTGTGTTTTTGTTGCGTGTGTTTGTGTGTGTGTTTTTTCCACAGTGTGTGTTTTTTCCACAGGGTCTGGAGGCCAGTGGAACTCCCATCGTGGATCGGCAGCGGGCATCCCCGCCGCCCTCGTCAGACGAGGGATCCTCCAGGATCTGCAGCCTCATAGGGCACAGTCCGTGCGCGGGCGGGCGGGGCCTCAGGCGGCCGGAGGGCTCAGAATACAGGCGTTGGCCTCGCGCACATTCGAAAACCAAATCCAACCACCTACACTCACGTGGCCCCTCCCCGACCTCTACAACCCAGCGGTTGCATGGTTTACAACACAAGCAACACGGACGCAGGGCGGCGACTCGTTCGACACGGGGCTCCCGCGCGAGACTTCCGCGAAGCATGCACCCACGGCCTTGGCATCCCGCAGCGCTTGGACGGATGGAAGCATGCTCTTTTCAGAGCGAAGCTAATCCTGGGCCTCCGTGAAAGGCTCTCGCGCCGGACTTTCGCAGGGCATACGTCCACGACTTTCGCATCCTGCAGAGCCCAGACGGACGGAAGGCAGGTGCTTCTCGAAATGAGACTACACTGGGCGTCCTTCAACTGGGGGGAAAATCCTTTACAACAGGCGCCCTTGTCTGACCGGCGGACCGACCAGCTGCTCGTCATTCAAGGTGGGGCGCCCGCAATGGAAAGGAAGACTTGTATGGACTTACGAGGAAGGGACTTGGGACGGGAGAGTGTATTGCAGCATCGGTTGAAGCATCTTGTGCTGACTCTGGTCCTCTTCTTCCTCCTCCTCCTCCTCCTCCTCCTCCTCCTCCTCCTCCTCCTCCTCCTCCCCGTTCACAATCACGCATTATGAATACTACTCTCCTATCTCCCCCGACTCTGTCCGCAAGATAGTCGGCCCTCTCCGCGTTCTTAATATGGCTTTTAAGACCCTGTTGCTTTCGGTGTTTCAAAATGGCGTTCCCGCTGCAGCATGGCCCTCATTTTCGGATCGGCGTTTTGCTCCCGTCGTTCAGAACGGCACTCTCGCCTCAGCGGGGGCCACTCCTGTGGGTCAAAATCATTTTCCATTGCTGTCGCTCCCCTCATGTCCCCTCCGCCCTCCCCTGGCCCTCCTGCTGCTCCCGTTCAATTCCTGCCACCTCAACTCATGCTGCTGCTGCTGCTGCTGCTGCTGCTGCTGCTGCTGCTGCTGCTGCTGCTGCTGCTGCTGCTGCTGTTCGCCCTCGTCCTTCTCCTTCCACATCCTCCTCATGTTCTTCCTGGCCTCCTCCTGCTCATCCGCCACCTCCTCCTCCTCCTCCAAGATGCGCAGCTCGATTTTCTCCGATTGCGCATGACACGATTGCGCATAAAACGATCGGGGTCCTCTTTGGAGTTCCGGGGCCGCTGTGGCACGCGTCGGCGGAGAGAGAGAGAGAAAAAACCAGCGCCGTGGGAAGGGATGGGCGGAAAGGGTAGGATATCAGATGTGGCGCGGGCGCACCTGGCTGGTTCTCGCCCTCCTCTTCTCCCTCCTCCTCGGGCGGCCCCCGCCCCTGAAACCCCGAAGCCGCCTCGTTCTCACACCGCGCGGGCTCGCCCACGTTTCGGGCCCCTGGGCCCTCGCGGCTCGAGCTGGCCCAGGGAGGTGCCGCGGAGAGATGGTGTCTTCCGGGGCTCCGGCATCTCGTCGAGGGTCGAGGCCGTTTTGCCTCCTGCGCGCGGGCCACGAGCCCGTGCGGCCCGAGACTTGGCGGACCGAGCGCCGAGGACCGGGGCGTGCTCGGACCTCCGTGGGTCGCTGCTGGGATGGGGTTCGCGGGACGCCCCCCTGGTACCCACGGCTGGATTCGCCTCGGGGTCCTGGCTCCTCCTCCTCCTCCTCCTCCTCCTCCTCCTCCCCCTCCTCCTCCTGCTCCTGCTCCTCCTCCCACACCAGGACAGGTCGCTGGGAATCGACCCTTGGAGCCCAGACATCCTCCGTCCCGAGGCGGGTCGAGAATCGACGTGCTGGACGCCTCGTCCTCAGCTAGGCTCGTCCAAGACGTTCTCCAGGAGAGCCCAGAATCGAATCGACAAGTCGGATCGGCAATCGACACGAATCGTATCGGCGGAAATCGGCAGCCGAGTCGGGAAAAGTCGAATCGGCGGAAATCGGCAGGCTATTATGCGTCCATTGAAAAATCGGAACCCAAATCGGAATCCCAAGTCGAATCGAATCGGAATCGGAATCCATCGAAATCGGATCGAATCGAATCGGGGGAATCGAAACGAGCCCTGGTTCTCGGACGGTCCCAGACATCCTTCCCCAAGCAGTGCTTGAGGGTTTCTTTGCCAGCTTGTGAGAAGCGATGACAAAGGTCAACGATCACGTTCGTTCGCTCGTGTCTCTGCTTGCCCCGGGGGGGTGCGGAACGCCGCATGCAGGCAAGGCGCGCTAGCCTGGACCTGACGTCCGAAGTCGCTGTTTCGGCCACAATTCGTTCGCTGAAACAACGATAACGATCGACGATGGTAAAGATCGCAATCACGATAAATGAACGAGCAGAATCGCTCGTTGTTATCGTTCGTATCGTTGTTCTCATTGCTATCGCTGTGGTCCTTGGAAGAATATGCCGGATTCCCCACTGGTGGCTCCCCGTCGCGGCCTCGTCGCCGCCGCATGCGAGCACTGCTTACACGAAGGGAGTTGGGCTCCTCCTCCTCCTCCTCCTCCTCCTCTTCCTCCTCCTCCTTTCTTCCTGGTCCTATTCCTCCTCCTCCTCCCCCTCCACCTCCTCCTATTCCTCCTCCTCATCTTCCTCCTCCTCCTTTTCCTCCTCGTCCTCCTCCTCCTCCTGTTCCCCCTCCAC